CATTTAGCCCCAGTGAGCTGTGGTGTCCTGGAAGTACAGGACATCTCATTCACCTCGGTAAAGCCCTCCCCATCTGGCTCATCGTAGGTGCTCAGTAACTCTTCACAGCCTTACACCGACTATGTTTCTGAATTTTGATAATAAGGAAATCATATGAAATGTGAGTAGGAGCAGGTGGCATGCACATTTACAACCCAGCGACACCACGATTTAGGAGTGGAATGAGAAGTCAGAACCATCAGGGCAGGAGCTTAGGACTGACGGACAGGAGTGGGTGGGTGCTGAAGGCTGGGGCGTGCGGAGACTGCATGCTCCCTGTGGGCAATGACCACATTCCCTCTTTCTCAGGCACCTCCCACGGAGTCTGGCAGACACCAGATGCTCAATTATGTCAGTTTGAGTGAAGGTACCCCTCCTTAGCCCAGTCCTGGTTCAGATGGGTGCTGTCAGCAGGCCCCGCACCTGGGTACCAAGCTCCCGCCCCCACCCCCATTCCCACCACGGGGCATTCTCTGTCTCTGCCTAGGTTCCCACCTCAATTTCAACTTAGCAGAATGAGAGTCACACTCTGGCATCCTGTTTGTGGGGGTGGGAAAAGTCCCGAGCAGTTAGTGAACACGTGACTTGAAGCTCTTCCCTGTCATTAAAATTATCGACAGTGAGTTTTGTTTCCCATGGAAACAGAAGAAAATCCTTCTTAGGAATCTCTTGAATGTGTTCTCTTTTCAAACCAGCTCCACTTTAGGAAATAGTGCTCCCATCAGGACCAGGTCTTTGAAGGTCACTAGCAAAGACACTTCTTCAGGAGACAGACCAGACAGAACAGCCAGTCAAACATGTTGGATTGTATAAAGTGAGAGAGAAGGGAACGCTCATTTGGTGTCTCCATCCAACATTGACTTTCCAAAGGCCACAGGAGATGGTTTGGACAGCAAATGATATGAGATCTAAATAAAAGTAGCTTTACCAATCAAGAGGTTTATTGTTTTGCATAATTTGAAGTCTGGAGGCATAGCGATTTCAGGGTGGTTAACTCACTGACAGAAACATCTGGATCTAGCTCAGCTGTCCTGCAGCTATCCCCACCGTCCCCAGGTCTGCTGGAATTAGAGTCCACCCGCTGTTTACCATCTGCAGAGGCAGAGGCAGAGAAAGTGAATATCTCCTCTTTGTCCAGAATCAGCACAGTCTTCCCATGATTAAATAATTAGTAGGCAAGGGCAGGCACCACCACTGGCCTAGACCAATGAAGAGTCACTTGTGGTTGGGTAGGGGTCAAGTTTTCAAAAAACACATGACCCCTCAGTGAAGCTGAAGCCAAGCCCCTTGTCCCCAAGTACAGAGAGGTGGCTGGGGTAGGCTGGAGAGCAGGTAGCCTGCAGAGCCTTGGATGCTGGTGCAGGCCTGAGGTGTAGCAAGCCAGGGTCACCGACCTGTCCCCGGGTTGGCCAGGGCCAAGTGGGTGTGGATGCCTGATCCACACAGCGCTGTAGTCCCCAACCCCAGGGCCTCCACGATCAGCTGACCTCAACCTCCTGGGTACTGGGATTGCAGCCAGGATGAGAAAACAGAAGAGGAGTGGGCCTGAATGGGAGGTCTGACTCCAGGGCAAACCAAAAGCGTTGGGGCTTTCCCTTACCCTATCATCTGAGCCTCAAACTTGACTGTATTTGGAGACAAAGCCTTTAAAGAGGTAAGTTGAAACAAGTTGTTAGGGTGGTTCTAATGTAGCCCCATAAGGATGTGTCCTTATGAAGGAAGTGTGGACATCAAAGGAAACACCAGGGTCACACAGGCACAGAGGACAGACCATGTGAGGACACAGAAGGAGGGTGGCCAAGGAGAGAGCGCTGAGGAGAACCCAACCTGAAGACACCTTGCTCTTGGACCTGCAGCCTCCGATGCTGCGAGACATCGCATTTCTGCTGTTGAAGCCACCCGTCTGCGGCCTTTTGTCGCGGCAGCCCTGGCAAATGAATGAGGAGGGGAAAAGGGGCACGGCCTCAGGGGCTTCCCTCTGATGTTTCTTCCTCTGCTCCCCAGGAAGTCCCCAGCAGGCGGCTTCGCCCAGCTGAGGGGCCTTCCACCCTGAGGAACGCCAACTGGCACTAGATTCCTGGGTAACCCACACAGAGCAGTTCACGTCACAAACCCCTTCCTCCTCTGACTCTGCTTCTCACCACAGATGCCGGGGACGTGTGACGGGCTCAGGCTACAGAGGCAACGTTCTTTAGCCTGAAAAAGCAGCAGCGAGTTCTGGACCTGCAGGGTTAACTTCCACACAAAATCCACCAGAGAGTGTTCAAAGGGCAGGCTGGGTCACGAAAGCATAGTGCCTCTGTGTGACATCCAAGAGAATGGGCTCCTACCCGTCAGCAAGAGCTGGGTGGTGGCAGAGGGAACAGGTAAGTGAACTTTCAAAGGACTGAGCTTCAAATCTGGGCACCTGCCAGATAGAGACTGCATGTCCTCAGGCAGTGTCCTGTCCTGTGACACAGTAATAGCCGTGCGTGCCCCTAATCCAGAGAGGAGAGGGGCTTGCCCAACACTGCTAGGAACCAGGGGTGGAGGTGGGAAAAGGGTGTGACATAGTGTCACAAATTTAGTAGCTTAAAACAATCCACATTTATTTTGTTATAGGTGCAGAAGTTAGATATCTGAAAGGGATCTCACTGGATATGAATCAAGGAGAGTCAGGGCTGCGTTACCTTACGGAGGTCCTAGTGTAGAACTCACTTCCTCACCTGCTCCAGCTTCTGGAGGCCACCCACACTCCTTGGCTTGTGAATCCTTCCATCTTCAAAGTCAGTAAAGTCTAGTCAGGTCTGATATTGCATCATTCTGGCCTGACTGTCCTGACCCTCTCTCTCTCTCTCTCTCTCTCACTCTCTCACCCTTGTGACATAAGCCAGGATACTCTGCCATCTCGAGACCATAAATCACATCTGTAAGCATATTCACATATATCCACATGTTCCAGAGGTGCAAATGTGGACATCTTTGAGAGGCCACTCATTGGGAGGCCATTATTCTGAGAAGAAAAGCTTCAATCTGCTCCAAGAGAGTTATTTCTATTCCACAGAATACACTCGCCCCCATCCCCAAAGTCTCAATCTACTACAGCATAATTCAAAGTCTCAATTCCATATAAATCTCATCAGTGAAAAGTCCCAACTCTCATCTTCCAAGTCGTCCAAGCAGATATGAGGAAGACACCGAGTATGACCCACCATCTTGGAACAAATTCCCTTTCTACCTGGGACCTGTGAAACTGAAACTGAGTCATCTGCCCTGAACTTTAGTGATGGGACGGGCATGGGAAACCAGTTATAAACATTCCACCCAAAGGGAACCGAAGGGTCAGCAATCCATAATCTTGAATTCCAGGGGGCAGAGTTCATTCAGCTCCACAGCCCCTGAGGCTCAGGGCTGTCTCTTGGAGACACCATTTCTCTTACACAAAAGGCCCCATAATGCATTCTGCTTTCATGTATAACTAATTAAAGCACATTTTTTAAAATTAAAAAATTTTTTTAAATGCTTGAGGTGAATAATTCTACCAGCCTGTTTCTTTCCCACAAAATTCTAAAGAAAATGAATTAGTAATTAAAAGAAGAAAAGAAATATCCAAGCCAAATAGTATCACTGGTCTCAAACATTTAAAGAAGAATTAAAATCTATTCTACACAGTCTTTTCCAGAAAATGAAAGGATGAAATATTTCCTAATTCATTTTAGGAAGCAAGTATAATCTTGACACCAAAACTAGACAAAGCCATTACGAAATAGAGAAAATCATAAATGTCCCTCAAATGTAGAAGCAAAAATTCTTAATAAAATATTAGCAAATACAGTTAGCAATCTACGAAAAAGAATTATAAACTATGACCATGTTTGGATTATTCCAGAGATGCAAGCCTGGTTCATTATTTGAAAATTAATCAATGCAGTCTATCATTTTAATAGACTAAAAAAATTTAAAAATCACATGATTAAGCCAGTTGATGCAAAAGTTACTTGACAAATTTCAACACTCATGATTTTAAAAACTTCTCAGAAAAATAGAAATAGAGGGGAACTTGCTCAACTTGATAAAGATCATCTATATTATACCTAATAGCTAATAGCTGAGAGTTGCAGGCCTTCCCTTCATATTGGAAATAGGGCATTTATTCACCGAAGTACCAGATGCACTATCCAGTACAATAAGGCAAGAAAGGGAAATAAAAGGCACTCAGATCAGAAAAGAAGGAAAGCAACTGTCTCTTTTAGAAAAGGACAATGGTTATTAGAAAATCCTGAGCAAGAATAACAATTACAAAAAACAACAACAACAACAACAAAAAACCCTAGGCTTGTAAGTAAGTTCAGCAAGATCTTGAAATTTAAGGTAAACATACAAAATCAATTCTGTTTGTGCACACTAGCAATGAACATGTGGACACTGAATTAAAAATAAGGTACCATTACAATTGTAAAAATGAAAGGAAATATGTGTAACACGAATAAAACATCCGAGAACTGAATGCAGAAAAGTGAACAATGGCGATCAAAAAACCTAAATAAATGGAGCTGGCAAAGGACAGACACACTTATAAGTGAAACAGAATGAAGATTACAGAAATAGAGCCACATCAAAATACGTCTTTGATAAAGGTGCGAAAGCAATTCAATGCCGAAACACAGGCTCTTCAGCAAATGATGCTAGACTAAATAGAAATCCATTGGCACAAAGATGAATCTCTGTCTGGGTCTTACACCTTCACAACAATACACTACACATGGATCAGGCTTAAATGCAAAACTAAAACAACTATTAACACATAGAAAGTCTTTAGGAACTTGGATCGGGTGAAAAGTTCTTAGACTTGATAACAAAGACACAAAGGAAAAATTGACTTCATAAAATTTTGTTAATACCTTTATTTTATTTATTTAACTTTATGATGTGCTGAGGATGGAACCCAGGACCTCACTGTGTAGGCAGCGCCCTACCACTGAGCTACAAACCCAGCCCCATAAATTTTTTTTTAAATTTCTTTTGTTGTAGACCCTGTTAAAAGGATGAAAAGACAAGGTACAGAGTGGGAGAAAATGTTTGCAGATCTTATATCTAACCAAAGACTGTTTTAAAATAAATTTTTAAAACTCTTGAAATTCTAAACAGTCCAATTGGGAAATGGATAGAAGACATGAACAAACATTTTACCAAAGAGGAATGCACGTGACAAGGAAATGTGTGCCGACTAGGACATGCAAATTAAAACCACAAGGGGCAGTAGGGATGGCTGAGGTAAAAGGTGTGGCAACAGTCAACACCCATGAGGATGTGAAGGACAGGGCCACCCACACGCTGCTGGTGGGTGGGAGGCGTGTGACTCCCACGTGACCCACCGACTGTGTTCTTGGACATTTATCCCAGAGAAATAGACACATTCCCATGAAAACTGTACAAAAATGTATAAAGCAGTTTATTCATCAGGGTTCCAAACTGGAACCGAGCCAGATGTCCTTCAGCAGGAGAGTGATGAAGCCGAAGGACATCCACGCCCCAAGGTTCTAGCTAGCACCCACCTGGTGAACTTCCTGACAGTCATGCCATGAGCAAAGCCAGTCCCCAAAAGTCACGTGTTGTATTTCCAGAAATGGCAGATGTTCTAGAAATAGAGAAGGCCAACCGCTGTCCAGAGCTGAAGAGGTGGAGGGTGGGAGAGAAGTGTGTGTGTGGACCCTGAGGGCACCTTGTAGAGATGGACATGTTCTTTGCCTTGACCACTCCTGGTCATAACAGGTGTTAGTAATCAGAAAGCAAAACACTGACTGCTCCTTCCTCCTCCACCCTCAACTGCTCACTTCTGGTCCCCAAAATTGGGTTTGGGTTTTCCACACACACCAGGAATTCAGACACCAACTGGGTGTCCTAGGACTCAGTCAATTCTGACCCTGTCAGCCTGGAGGCAGATCAGCTCCCACAGGTTAAAGGCTCCATCCCACGGACTGCCCCCACTTCAGATGCCAACCTCCAGCCCCCCAATTTTCATCTGTGCTCCTAACCCACCAATTAATGAAGCAGAGGGTCCCCCAACCTCCTCTCAGGTTCTATTATTTTCTGGAATGATTCACAAAACTCAGGGGAATACTTTACTTACATTTTCCTATTTATTCTAAGAGTATACAATTCAGGAACAGCCAGATGCAGGGGAGGCCTAGGCAAGGTTCGGAGGAAACACCACGGAGCTTCTGTGTGCACTTGGGCTCACCATCCTCCCAGGTTCTCCATGTGCTGAGCAACCCCAGAATCTCGGCATGTGTCCTTTTGGGTGTCATAGAGGATCCCTATGAAGTCATGATTAATTAAATATTTGCCCAGGAGTGATCAACTTAAATATCAACTCCAGCCCTTCTCCTCATCCCAGAGGTTGGGTTAGGGCTGAAAGTACCAACCATCAGTCATCTCATTAGCATATGAAAAGATACTTATTACTTTGGAGAGTCCAAGATTTTAGGAGCTATGTCAGGATATGGAGACAAAAAAACAGATGCGTATTTCTATTCTAAATCACATCACAATTACCACCAGGGGCACTGGATAAGCACACAAGGGGCCTCTCTACTACTTCTTACAGCTGCATGTGAACCTACAATTATCTCAAGATGAAAGGTTTCATTCCAAACAATTTTTAATAGGATTTTATTTAAAAATTTAAATCTCCATCTTCTCTGGAAAGTTGGCAAGATCTGACCCACTTTCAAACACAGCTAAAACGGACTGCAGTGGAGCAGCCGGGCACCTCCAGCTTGGGCATCCACTTGCCAGTTCATGCCAGTTCTCCCCACCACTCGGCCCCTCTCCTAGGCTCACGGTTCTCTGCTCCTTGTCAGCCAGTTGCTTTCTTTTCCTCTTAGGTCCTGAAAGAGACCCCTCCTTGTCAGGCATGTAAGTTTTCCACTTTTCTAGCAAAGCTGAGTATTGGCAGGGTGGAGTTATGCTGAGGAGTTAGCTGCCATCTTAACTCCTATGTCTGAGAGCCACAAGGCTGAGGCTACCATACAGTGAATACAGTGAATCTCCTGAAAGTTCCAGAAAGACCTGAGTTCAAATCATGGTTTCCCCAACTGACCTTGAACAAATTCCTTAAATTTCCACATTTTTCACTTTTACCATGGTGTCAATAATACATAGTACCATCAAACCAATGCACCCACCACCACAGAGTGGGAGTTCACCGATAACTTTTCCCCACAACAGCAGGAGGGCTCCCCTCGGTGCTGTGCGTTCCTCCCAGTAGCAGCAGGGTATGCTAGAAGACACTGGCTCTCGCTGGACTTTCATCAACTGGAATTTAGCTACCTAAATGTCTTTCTAGAATGATCTCATAATCCTCCCAAGATTATTGGGAAGATTCTACAAAGCAGTCACTCGTATTACGTTCCCCTTACATAGGAGGAGTTGAAAGCATAGCTATTTGATTATTCTGACTTCAGTCAGTGAGTCTCACCCTCACATCTACGAATTGAATTACTTTTCTACCACCTCTCACAGTCTCAGGCTCTGACAGAACTTGGTAGAGTTTTCAGTTGCATCTCTTTGTCTGTTACTAAGGCAAACTCAAGAACTTCCTGATCTACCCTGCTTCACAGCCTCTGGGAGTCTCTGAGAACTTCCCTTCTGTTCTACCTTCTTCCCCTGGCACCTGAACTTCTTCCGGGATGACCACAGGCCCCAGCGACCTGCAGGCTGCACTGTGTCTGAAGATTTTGAGATCCCGAGTGACAATACAGAGGGTCATTATCGAGGCTATCTCCCTATAGTAACTGTTGGCATGCCTGTCATGAGTCAATCATCTTTTTTAATTGGCATTAACTTATATTGGCAAAGAGAAAGGGACAAAAAACACAAGGAACAGTCTGAGTGAAACCCCAGCTCTCCCAGAGGACTGGTTGCTGGCCAAGCTGCTCAGGACTGTAGCTCAGCAGAGACCAAGACGCTCAAGAACAACAGGACACTCCCATCCCTGGGCGTCCAGGGCCTTTGCAGGAAGCCAGGAAACAAGAGCAGAGAGCAGGCTCAGGCTTACCTCTCAACGGGAAGAGCCCGGACCTAAGACAAAGCTGGCCTGAGCCCTGGCGCCCCCAGCTTGCTGCACAGACTCAGGCAAGGTCCAGGGCCTCTTGCTGGGCATGGGGTTTTGTTTTTGTTTGTTTGTTTGTTTGGTAGGGTGGGACGGTGATCATACTAGGCCAGGTTCATGGGGTCTACAGAGGCCACACAGAGGCAATACAGGAAATGTGCTCCTGCACTGCCTCACGCGGCAGGCACTCAGCGCTGCTGGTCTCATATTCATGGTGTGATCTGCAGCGAGCCAGGGAGAAGGAGCAGCTGGGGCGGAGGTATTTTAGCCACTATCAGCAAAAGAGCCACAGAGCACAAAGGTTGGACTTGAACGGAGCTCCAGGGCAGCTCACTCCCCTGTGGCCCTCAGATTCTCAGAGGGTGAATATTTAAAAATTAAACAGTGCTTTCCTGCGAGATTGGTCTAGAGTTTCAAACAATGTTTTCTTTTCAGTTTTGGTGGTTGTGTTTGTTTTGGTGCTGGGAATTAAACCCAGGGCCTTATACCTGCCAGACACTCTCTCTACCACTGAGCTACTTCCCCCAAACCTTAACTGGGCTTTTTTTTTTTCTTTTTAAGCAATATTCTGGCTTTACTTTTCTAGCTCCGTGCACTTGGACATGACTGACCTTTGTCAATATCCGTTTTCTTATCTATGGTATTAGCTCGGGAGCCACCTGAGATGGGGTCTGGGGTGGGGGGGTTGGTAAACTGGACCCACCAACAGCTCTGTCACAGTGGCTCTGTCCCAGGGCTGGTCCTAGCAGTGTGCCCAGCTTAACGTGTAGAGTGAAACACTTTCAAATTGAAATTAACAGCTTGATTGTTTCTGTTAAGTTTGAATTTTGCAAAATTATGTGATAAAGGCGGCAAAACTGTGGATAAAATTGTTCTAATGAGGTACAAGCATTTAATGTGAAGAAAAATATTTGAAAAACTCAATCACTATCTTAACAAGGTGATAAAATTCACAGAAAAATGGGTGAAAACAGAAACGATCTCAGTGGGACCATCACAGAGCCCATCCCACAGTGTCCCACCATGTCCTGGATCCCAGATAGCTGGCAGACATCATCCTCAGGGCTAACGTGTTGTCTCTTACTGCCCCCTGGTCAAAAACTCCAGGGGCCCCAGCTCTGCAGACGCTCGGCCACCACCTGGCATGTTACCTTCCTCCTCTCCGACACGGCTGCTCCGCCCTGTTCTCTGCCTGGGCCCTGCTCTCCCGGCAGTTGGCACCCTCCGCCCCATCCCAGCTGCGCTGTCTCCTGGTGTGTGCTCCTCCTCCGCTCCAAATACGCTCCTGCCCTGTCTTCCTCTGTATTTATCTCCCCCTCTGATTCATCTATTTTAATCCTGCGAACCCCTGTTTGTTCTTTTAGCCCATCCGTATTGGCTTAGTATTCTGTGATATTTGTCACTTAAATCTTAGTCTCTCCTAGCGTCCACTCCCAGATCTCTTCCCTGAAGTCCTGGCCGGGTGGCAGCTGGGCTGTAATTGCTGCTGCACCTACAGGAGCTCCTGGTTCCCTATGGGTGGATCTCCCCACCAGGCAGATTATTCCTGCTGTAGGGCCAGGGTGGGCCTTTTATTCCTCCTGTCTTATGTTTTGTTTGTTCTGTGACTCTTTCCAGAAGGGCTTGGAGGGAGTTTACAGCAACAGCATGCACTTGTGTGCACAGGCACACACACATGTGCACAAATATGGCAAACTATAAACAATAGGAAAAAAACCAAAAAAGATAAGTCTGCAGTGTGGGCTCTGACTTCCTCCCATACCAGGGCCCAACCCAGGTACTCTCTAAAGATCTCAAACCACCAAGACTCAATGCCCTCTGTCCCCGTGGAATGTGTTACGGAAACCCTGCTGCTGACAGAGCAGGAAGGGAACCAAACATGAGGAGCAGCAAGGAAGTTACATCAGAAAGAGCCCCGGACCTTGAGTCTGACTTCATTCATTTTTTTCCTTCATGCAATAGAATTTTTAAGCATCTATTGTATTCGTTAAATGAAAATGACAGGCACCATTGGTTTGGACTAAGCTCCTGGATTAGGCCCCAACAGACCAGGCTTAAAATCCAAAGGGCTCACTCAGGCCAAAGTTCGCCATCAGCAGACCAAAACTCAGTGTGGCCTGACCTGGGAGAACCAGGAGGGGAACACCAGTGTCCCAGCTGGCCCTTCTGTGTGACTCTTCACTGAAAGGTCACCCAAGTAGTCGAATACTCACAAATCAGTTATTTTTCTATTGTTTTGTTTCCCAGACTTACAAGGAGAGAGGCTTTGAAACAGCTGATCTGCTTTTTGTTCTTTGTTTCTGCTTTTTCCAGACTTTTGTCTATAAAATCAACATCATGGGCTCAACCCATAGGAACATTGTCTTTCAAGCAATAAAGAGTTGCCTAATTCTAGAATCTCACCTAAAGTGAATAAAGATCTTCAAATTAAATTGGTTGTCATTTTGTCCTTTCATAATTACATACTAGTTGTATAACTAATTCTATAATCAAAGAGCACCTTGTCACCTGCCTACCCTCATTTGTTAAAGGAAAATGAAAATAAAAAAGAGGATCAAACACTGTGCCTCTCCTGGGTATGTACAAACATGGATCCTAAGACCTAGTTTTCTTTTCTTTTTTCTTTTAACTTTTAAAAATATTTCATGTATGGGTTTTCAAGGAAATTCGCATTTATGAAGTGAATTAGGTAAATTTAATAATTAACATTTATAAAAAGCAGTCAATCTCTCTGGTCATCAACTCATTGAAGAAGCAATGCTGTTATGAAGAGAATGTGAACCACGAGGAAATCTCACTACACAGCCACAGAAATATCTAAAATAGAAACATTCACCACATTAAGTACTGGAGAAAATGTAGAATAAGCAGGCCTCTGACCAGTGCGTAAAGTAGCCCAGCCACTCTGGCAAACAGCTTCACAACCTCGTAAACAGTTAAAATGGACATCTGTCCTATGATCTAGCAATTCCACTCCCAGTTGTTTATCTGAGAAAGCTAAAAATACGGGTCTACGAAATCCTCGCTTAGGAATGCTCACCGAAGCCTCACTCACAGTAGCCAAATCCAGAAACAATGCAGATGTTATCACAGGAGATAAACATACTTACTTCATGTTCATGCAAAATGTCAGCAATAAACAGAAACACACTCCCTCACGTGAACAGCATGGATAAGGCTCAAAGATACCAAGCACAGACGGCGTTGCTCCACTGATGTGACATCTAGAGCCTGCAGTGGCAGAATTGCTCCTGGGAACAGGGATGAGGAAGGACTGTTGGGAGGGCATAAGGAGAAGTTCTGGAGCAACTTGTGTTGGTACGCACCACCGGTACCAATGGACTTAAAATCGGACCATTTCAGTACATTCAATTCGATTTCATTATCTTGAAAGGTAATGCTGAGGGAGGATTCAGGAGATGGCACGTGTTAAAGCTGGACTGCGCTGACCGTGGCACACCTGTAGCAGAAACCTCTGAACCGTTCATTACAATAAGTCAGTTTTGTGATTCTTTAATTGTATCTCAATCAACTGTCAAGTAAAGACAATGCTCAGCTATTAGGACCTGGAGAAAGTCGGCCACCCACAGATTCTGCACAGAACTGGCCTTCTGGGCCATGTGGTGACATGCACCCAGAGCCTTACAGGAGGGGAGCCTCCTGGCCCAGCAAGGCCGCTTCCGAAATTCACCACAGGAAAGCACCAGAAGGCACACCCCCAAGACCTGGATTTAGAGACGTTCACTCAGTGCCGTTTGTAACGGAAAACGGGAAGGCAATGTAATGCCTGTACATAGCACATTAGTGAGGTGAGTATGTGTGTGTGTGTACCTCGGTGGCACTTTAATAATGTTAACTAATAATGGTCAACATGGAAATCTACTCAGAACGTATTAGTAGGTTGTAGAAAATATGCAGAAAACAGCATGATTGGTATTTCATAGGCTCTAGCTCTTGAGTGCTATGCAGTAGTGTAGTTATGTATGCTGATCCTACTCTCATCCAGGACACACGGCAGGGATACACAACAGGTGACAAGTGCAGCTATCTCTGGGTGCAGGAGGATTACGTGTGCCTTTTAAAAAGACACAGGTTATTAACTTTCAAAATAATCTTTAAAGTGGGTCAATAATGAGAGGAGGTAGAAGTCACTGGGACCGCGGTTCACGTGGGGTAGAGAAGATGATCTGGGGTAGGGATGGCCATGTACTGCATGGCCCTAATGAAAATCTGGTGCAGTGGAAATGTAAAGTTGACTTACGGTCACACCATGCCCCGGAGGCAGCTGCCAGGAAAGTACAGCATCCCAGAAGGTGACCTCTGCCTGGTGTTCCTGTCCTCCAGAGCCCGCCATTTCCATTTTCAGACTTGCTTCCTTCAGAAGACACCCCCATGGTTACTCTTCTGTGGTATCCTGATCAAATTATTCATCTCAGTCCCGGTGAGAGAGCCCTGGAGCTGGATACTGTTTTTCCTTCCCCGGTTTATCAGGCGCAGCCACCTGCTAGACCATTTTGGAACCAGCTTGGACAGAAAAAATTCACATGCTTAGAGAATTCACCTTATATCTAGAATTTAAGAAAGTTCTGTGAAGCTGCCTTTAAGAACTCTGATCAGAAGACAAGCAAATCCATGTCCAGGAGCGAAGCACAGCAAGCAGGTGGCTCTGGAGAAACCCGCCCCTCTGAGCAGTCCTTTTGGACAGACAGCTTGAGTTCAGAGCAGGGTCCCCTTAGGCAGGCGCTGTCCCATCTGAAAAGTGAAACTGGTGCCCAGAGAGGGCAGTTTGTCCAAAGTCAGCCAAAAATCAGGAGCAAGCTGTGATCCTCTGTCCCACTCGGTGTCGGAAGCTGTGGAAGGAAGGGACAGTGTGTTATGATGGAATACCCCGGGTTAGAAGCCTGGGTCTAGCACTGGCTTTGTCCTTGGTTGGCCAGGCTCCTTGGCCCCCCTTCAGGGAACCTGCCTCTTTCCTGTAACGAGGAGGTTCTGGTGGGGAACATTTCGACCAGACACCTATGGTTCTAATAAGCTCCCACCCTCCCTGCCCTTCCCCGGCTTAGTCCTGGTAGGCACTGCCCTGCCTGTCCATTCCATGTATGCAGGGTCAAAAAGATGTCCTGTGAGCTGCCCAACCAGGCGCCCAACGCCTCACCCTTATTGTTTCTATTTAGTGAGAGCCTTAATTTTTTTTCCCTGCACAACTGGATTAACTAGGCACGTCTATGTCTGTACTCGGAACACTAATAAATATGCTTTGCAAAGTAAATATAAGTTTAATGTTTATTAAACAGACACCAAGAGCCTGGGGATGTGTGGAACAGGAAGAAGGAGGCTCCCAGGCAGCCTGCCTCTCCTAGGGGCTGGGGCTCCGAGGTCCTGGACCAAGAAGAGGAGGAAGAGAATGGGTGCAGAAGAAAGGGCCTTGCCACAGACAGACAGACAGACAGATCAAATGCCACCCAAATGGCAGTTTCCAACTCCAATTGACTCTAATGGCCCGACAAGGTAGAGACATCGCCAAAGTCAAACGGCCATCTGTGTGTCCAAGGCCGGGTTTGGTCACACCAGAAGTTTCTGTACCAGATGCCTGTCCTCTGGATTTCACCTAATATCCTTGGTTATGATCCTTGCTTCAATAGGGTTGAATTTTGAGCTCCTAAACCAAACTTTTGGTAAGGGTCTTCTCTTGTGGAAGTCCTTCACACTATTTGAAAAAGTCTTGCAAATGTTTATGATTTTATTTTAACATACAATACACAATGATAAAAATAAATGTTTTCAGATAGGATGCTGTTAGAATATTTCACTTTCTCAGCAGGTTATAAAAGTAAAAAATGTCACTAAGAATATTCTTTAACATTTCTTTATCAAAATGTCTTGTTTGTTTCTAGAGAACATGCAGTTAAGCCAATGGTTCCTGTGATTAAAGAGCCTCTGTCCTAAGGAGACAGGAAGTGCCTCTTGTGATTGGACAAAGTTTTGCTTCACAGTCGTGGAATCAGAAATGTGCCCCATTACTGTCACCAGCGCCCAGCCTGGACGCCAGGCCAACAAGCACACACAGATCAAATACACGAATGACATTCTCAAGCAGCCTGAGAAAATCGATAAAATCAGATCGCGACTCTGGTCAGTGAGCACATGATAATGGCTGAGCTTAACGTTTAAACAAATATTTGTTTCAGAGGGGATTAAACATAGAAGTATAATATAAATTTCAGATACACTACAGGCATGGCTTGAGAATACCACTTGGAGCACGTAACCCATGGACACAGTATCACCTCACCTGGTAGCAGCACACACTAACTGCAGAGTTATTATTTCCCTTTCTATTTTAAATGACTGAATGAATTTGTACTTACAAAATCTAGAATATTTAAACTATAAGGAACCCACTAGATTAGCAAGTATAATTTCCCTCATTTTCCAAAACCTGAGAGCCACATAGTTTTCTTTTCATACTTTGCTTAACGTCAGCATTTAACAACTAGAATTCAAGTCTCTTGACTCTCAGAACTGGTCCTGTTCCAGAGTGCCAGGATCCCATGACACACTTGGATTCTGTACCTTGCCCTCAACATATTCATATAAAAGTTAAAATGTAAGTCTATAAAGAGGTCAATGTCCGTCAGCAATGAATCGACGGATAAATCTCACCTATTTTTTACGTTATCCATCACAATTTACTTGCTCATTCCAAGAGTCTTTTTAAAGAAAGTTTGGGTTTTAGATTTGTTTTGTTATTGTTGTTAAGATGTCCTGCAGTTTAATTTATAAATCAAGGTACAGACAAGGTCTTCTTTATTCTGTAGGTTTAATAAATATTTTCAGAGGAAGATCATTGTTTTTACTAGCCCAATCATAACATCAGTTATGTGAGATAGAGGATAAATAAGGATACGTAGATATCTTCTATCAAATAGGACATTGCTAAAATAGTGCACTTCTACCAGGCATGATAGTACCTGCCTGTAATCCCAGTGACTCAGAAGGCTAAGGAAGGAGGATCCAAAGTTCAAGGCCAGGCTCAGCAACTTAGCAAGATCCTTACTCAAAATAAAAACCAAAAAGGCTGGAGATACAGCCCAGTGGTAGAGCATCCCTGGGTTCAATCCCTAGTACCAAAACAAAACAATAAACGCTTCCTGCACAGCTTTTCAAAATAAAAATGAGACCAAAAAAATCCACCTTAAATTCCTTATCAAAAGTTCTTGCTATAATATGACACATATCTCCTTCTTGCCTTCTAAAGATTTGAGGAGTTCTTTGAGAGCAAACTTTTCAAATGACTCCACAGGGGCTGAGAGTTGTTAGAAAGTAGCTGACACCAGGCATCAACTCTGGACTTCTCCTCCCACAAAGGCACTGGGGAAGTAAGAAGTTCCTGGAGTCAGAATCTTAAATACTCATGTGCACTTCGCATGTTGTTGGTTTGGAGTCTTTACTAGTTCTAAAGGTGTTCAAATTAAGGGACTGGGACACCATCAAGGGCCTAGAGTCATCCATTAAGATCTCCATCGCTTGATCAGCGGGTGCGGCCAAGCCCTCAGCACATTATACTTTGATAAGGGAAAGTAAAATATTCTCCCAAGAAATTCTATTTGTCAAATACTTTCCACATGGAATTCCAGTAGCAGATATATTTTTGGCAAGGAAACAGCAGGGAGCTGAGAACCTGGCTCATGCCAGCTCTGCGGACTCCAGTGACCAGGGCAGAAAGCCTGGCCTGGAGAAGGCCATGCAAATGCTGGGGGTGGAGTCCGGGGAGGGAGGGCAGGTGCTCCTTAGCTGCCTGGCCCCCTGGCCACTCCCAGACTCCTGGGCAAGGAGTGTTGTGACCCCCGAGAGGTAGAGGTAGTGTTGGAGACAGTGACAACAGGGGAGAGGAGAGGCTGAGATCCTAAGAAGCTGCCCCCTCAGTGTAGTGAACCCACAGGGGGCATGACCTGGCCAACCACGGCCACCCTAAGGTCCACACACACCAGCCTTCAGAGCAGCTCAGAACCTTCTTGAACCAGATGCTGGTGGCATCTGGAGCACATCAGCACCCCAGAGTGTGGGCTCGGCTGGTGCTCTCAGCCCAGCAGCAGGGGAGGGGAAGGTGAGCTTGAAAGAAAACCCCTGTGGTCTATGCGACAACATAGAGGATCTCAAATAACCACAACAAGGGAAAGAAGTCAGGTTTTAAAAGTCGAGAACACAGCCTCTGATTGCATTGATATAAAACCCTAGAACATGCAGGCTGACCTATAGTGACAGAAAGTAGATCACCGGCTGCTTGAAGTGAGGGGCAGGGTGACAAGGGGGCACAAGGAAACATGGAAACGAGGGGTTCAGGCAGAGGGGAGTCGGGCATGCTCACCGTCTGGAAGTGGTGATGACTTCACGGGCGTTTTCATATATCAGACCTACCAAACTGTATGCTTTAAGTATGCATGATTTCCCGTCTGTCAAGTGTACTCTCATGAGAAGAGATCCAGAGGCTTAGCTCTCTTGCAAAGAATCCGACTGAGTTGGGCCACGGTGGGATCTGGGCATCAGAATCTTTAAAGGTCTCCCCAAGAGAGGGGATGGAGGATGGGAGGAAAAGGGGGGGGGATTATGAACCATTGTCAATTTCCATGCATCTGTGAATTTGTCGGGGTGAATCCAACTGCTATATGTAACTATAAAGGTCTAATAATAATAATAATAGAAAATGTTTAAATCAATTAATGAGAAAAAAGTCTCCCCAGATGATTGGGAGTGCAGACTTTAGGTACAGAACCTCATGGCCATAATCAGGACCTTGGTTACATGCAATGATATTGGAAGCCACTGACCCTTGGTAGGAACCCAAGTCAGAAACTCCCCTGCCAGAATTAACATTGTCAAAAATGACCGTACTACCAAAAGCGTTATATAGTTTAATGCAATTCCTGTTAAAATACCAATGACATTCTTCATAGAAATAGGAAAAGCAATCATGAAATTCATTTGGGAAAATAAGAGATCCAGAATAGCCAAAGCAATTCTTAGCAAGATAAGTGAAGCAGGAGGCATCACGGGACCAGACCTTAAATTATACTTCAGAGCCATAGCAACAAAAACGGCATGGTACTGGCACCAAAACAGACATGCAGACCCATGGAACAGAATAGAAGACACAGGGACACACCCACATAAACACAGCTATCTCCTACTAGACAAAGGAACCAGAAATATACACTGGAGAAAAGACAGCGTCTTCAACAAATGATGCTGGGAAAACTGGAAATCCACATGTAGCAAAATGAAATTAAATACCTCTCTCTCACCTGCACAAAACTCAACTCAAAATGGATCAAGAACTTAGGCACTGTTAGAAAAGAGACCCTGCTCCTAATAGAAGAAAAAGTAGGCCCAGATCTTCACCATGTTGGCTTAGGAACTGACTTCTTTAACAAGACCCCTAAAGCACAAGAAGTAAAACCAAGAATCAATAAATGGGATGGAATCAAACTAAAAAGCTTCTTTTCAGCAAAGGAAACAATCAATAATATGAATAGACAGCCTACAGAATGGGAGAAAATTGTTACCACATGCACCTCAGAGGGTTAATCTCTAGGACAGATAAAGAACTCAAAAAACAACCCCCCCAAAAAATACAAATAACCCAATCAAAAAATGGCCTAAGGAAATGAACAGACACTTCACAGAAGAAGAAATATAACCAACCAGCAAATATATGAAAAATTGTTCGACTTCTCTAGCAATTAGAGAAATGCAAATCAAAACTACACTGAGCCAGGCACAGTGGTGCATGCCTATAATCCCAGTGGCTCAAGAGGCTGAGGAGGATTTCGAGTTCAAAGCCAGTCTCAGC